CGCGGGGGAGGGGCGGCGCGGCGCGGCGGGGGGCGGGAGAGGTGGGCAGCCGGCGGGCGGTGGGGAAGGTAAGCGCCATGTTTGCAGCGCCCGGAGCAGAAGAAAGCGGGGAAGGGGGTGGGGAACGCGGGGGAGAAGGAGGAGGAGAAAGTTGGCGCTCACCTTTTGGACTGGGTCTCCGAGGGGTTCCGGTCGCGCTGCCGGCGGTTCTTGAACCAGTTGCTGACCTGGGTGAGGGACAGGCCGGTGATCTTGGCCAGGTGCCGCTTCTCGGCGGGCGAGGGGTAGCGATTCTGTTTGTAGAGCTCCTTGAGCGCGTTGCGCGACTTCTCCTTGAAACAATACACCGTCTCCTCGCCGTCCCAGATGGTGCGGGGCAGCGGGAATTTCCTGCGCAGCCGGTACTTGTCCACGGCGCCCAGCGGCCGGCCGCGCGCGCGCTCGGCCTCGGTGTAGCGCGCCTTGTACCAGAGCTGCTGCAGCAGCGGGTGGTTGGCCGACTCGAAGCTGTGGCTCTCGAGGATGCTGTACAGCTCGGGGTAGATGCCCTGGTGGAAGGCCACGAGCGCCCGCGCCTTCAGCAGGCTCTCGTTGCCACGTAGCAGGTCGCTCTGGGGCAGGGACCACAGGAACCGGGCCAGGCGGTCCAGGTTGCCCCCCTGCTGCAGCGCCTCGCACACGCAGGCGACGTGGTCCGGCGAGAAGGCCAGCGGGGTCCGCGCGGCGGCAGCGCGGTGCCCGCCCAGAAGTTCCGAGTGCAGTCGGACCGGCTCCGCCGCCGTCCCCTCCTCGCGGCCCGCGCCGGCCGCCGCTTCCCCCGGCTCCAGGGGGAACGGAGCTGGGGTCGGGGGGCTCAGCCCCGCCGCCGCGCCCCCCGCCACCTCGCGCTGCGCCTCCTGCCCTTCCGAGGCGCTTTCCATCCCATTCTCCTGCTTGATGTCCGCCGCGCTCGCGATCTGCCCGGTGGGGGAGGAAGAGGACATTTTTTGTTGTTTATTTTCCTCCCTCCCTCACTCCCTCGCACTCTTTTTCTCTTTCTTTCCCCCTCTCTTACTCCTCCTTCTTCGTCTCCCTTCCCCCTCCCCCCCTCCGGAAAGCCCACTCCCTCCCTCCTGGTTTCGGCTGGATCTGGCCGATCAGGTTTCCCCCCGGCCACGCAGTCACCATTAAGATAGCTGCTAGAGCAAAGTAGTGTAAACGGATAGCTGCTTTCTGCCGTTCCCCCAACGTGACTCCTCCGGTTGCTGCATACTATATGGCACTGGCGGCCCGGCCGGCTCGGCCGCGCCACCTCATTGGCTATTTCGCTTTCCGAGGGAGGAGGAGACACCGTGTCTATCCCTGTCGATCACCGCCGCCCACTCCACCCCCGCCCTCCCCTCTCCCCCTGACCCCAGGCACCTATACCTGAAGGGAAACTCCAGCATTCTTTTCAGGCCACGCTCCCTGGCCGGCAGTTACCTAATGTGCCTTGAAAACTGGACAACTCTTTCAAAGAAAGGGCCTTTGATTCCAGAGGGAATATGAATTCTGTGGCCTCCAGGTCTGCACGGTACATTGTCAATAAGAGGGCCACTCTCAACATCTAGGTGACAGAATTTCACAGGACAATTTCGAAGCTGCCTAGTAACTCTACCCCACCCCACCCAGGCCCCCCTGTAGGATGTTTTTATTGAGGATTTATATTCACAGGGGTCAAGAAAAGAATGGCACTGGAGGATGTAATAAAGGATGAGCATTTACAGTAAACTAAAATTCCAAAGGGAGAGAATGCTTGAAAATCTTGAAATGAGTAGCACTGTGACTAGCCCACTGGGAAACAAACAAACAAAAAAAGCATTCAAAAAATGTGCTCAGTCTTGTCACCTGGAGGGCTGAAAAGCCAACTGAGAGGTACATGATGTAACTAGGCACATAGAATGTTAAATTACATATTCTACATAAGTAATATGGAAGAAATCTAAACTTTAAATCACGATAAAGACCTGAAAATTTTATATATAAACAATTTCAATATGAATGTGTGAATAGGCTTTTCTCCCCTCTTCGATGATATGTCTGGTAGAAACACCTTCTCTGTCTTGGAGGGGATCAGCCCAGGCTGAGCGTTGGGGTAGCCTTTACAATTGGGTCTCTTTCATGGTTTGCAGGAGATCTGGACTCAGGAAGGGAAGAACCTCTGTGCATCAGTTGGGTCTGCTCTCTCTGCTGTCTCTCAGAATCCAATGTTTTCATGACATCACTCTAACCTTTACTTCAGGGTAATGTTGGGCTGTTTCTGCTCTCAACTACCCATAACTGCCTAGCTCAGCATATTATAAAGCAGCTGTTTAAGTCGTGCCTGCTGTCACAATCAACTTAGTGAGGTTTTCTTTTTTATTTCTACGTCAGGGTTTATTTTATTACTTGTCAACTAAGATGCCATTTGATATAGGATTTGGCTTGTTTTTGTACTACCCTAATGTGAAAAAGCCAGAGGTGATATTTGTGCTAGATTTAAAATTTACTGACAAGTATGGTGGTACACACCTATGATCCCAGTACTTAGGAGACTAAGGTAGGAGGATTGTTGTGAGTTCCAGGCTAGCCTGGGCTACATAGTGAGTTAAGGCCACATTGAAATAAATAGCAAAGGGGCTGGAGAGATGGCTCAGTGGTCTAAAGCACCTACTTGGAACAAGCTTGGCAAAGCACAGGGAACGCAGTTCGATCCCCCAGCACCACATGCCAGCCAGCCCCGCCCCCTGGTGGGCTGAGCTGGCTACACAGACACACACACACACACACAATAAATAAATATAAATAAAAAAAAAGAAAGAAAGAAATAGCAAGACCCTGTCTACAGAAAGGTTCGTAATCATAGAAAACACTACGTGCTTGCAGTCTTCTGGAAACATCCAATTAAGTATTCAGTTTCAGGACAATACAAGATTCAAACTTTATTTATTTTTTTGTGGTACTGGAGATTGAATTCAGGACCTTGAGCATGCCAGGCAAGTGCTTATTCTACTGAGCTATCTCCCCAGCCCTCAAACTTTCATGAATGTTTAAATATATCCTTTCTGTTTTAAAATAATGTTGATTTTCTGAAAAGTCACAAAAATAGTATAGAGTTCTGACTAACTCTTCATTGGATTGCCTCTAATGTTAATATTTTGCAGTGTAGTACATGTGTCTGTGCAAATTAATATTGTGTATAGTACATGTGTCCGAACAAATTAATAATGGCACGTTTGTATTCACTAAACTACAGTTTTTCCACTAGTGTCTGCTTGTTTGTTTCACAGACCAATCCAACATACCACAATACATTTATTGCTTGAAACTTAGAGCATATTTATCAGGGCAGAGTAGTTAGGAGATAGTGTGGTTTAGTGAAGAGGTTATGGATTTGAGGATCAGCTAGCTAGACATAAATTTAATCCTACAAAGATTGTATAAGATGTGCCCCACAGCAACTGTTGCGTAATTAATCCTAGGTAAATGTTTGTTATCTTCCTTTCCACTTTTGCAAAGTAGGGGGCTGGGGAGATGGCTCAGTAGAATAAAGCACAAGGGCCTGAGTTCAATCCCTGGTTCTGCCAAAAAAAAAAAAACCCAAAAAACAAAAACGAAAACAAAAAAACAAACCAAAAAAAAAAA